AATAGGATGTAGCTTTAAGACACCTACAGCTCCTCTCTCTCATTGATTACAAGTAAAACTGAGCAAACTACAAAAAAAATAACTACCTGTATACTCTAAAATTAGACAAAAGCAAGAAGATCTTGTAAGGGAGTCAAAAGTTAGAGGAACAATTTGCACAAGGGTGAATTTCATGTCTTTTCTTTTTTTCCTCTTTTGGCTTTGCCCTGAGGCAGGCCACTGATGCAGAGTAGTATGACAACAGCATAGGAGACAAGAACTCTGAAAGAAACACAGGTTTTCTGGCTCTGTAGACTAGGACGGAAAAGGGAGACCCCAGAGAAAAAATGGAAAACAGCTTAAGTCTTGGGCTAATCTCAAAGCTCCACATACATGAGGCAAATCCAAACCAGAATAACAAAGCTTAGGTTAGTGAACTGAGATTTCAACCACTGTCCAAATTCCAGGCTACCACCTGGGTGGCACCCATGTAGGACAGACTCAAACCAATGTAACACAGAGTTCAGGAACTGACCTGAGTCTGAACCACCCAAACAAGTTTCATACCACTCCCTCAGCTATAAGTGCTTCAGATAGACCCAAACCAACACAGTAAATGATTAGAGAACTGAACTGAGATTTTGAATCACCAATTCCACTCTCCCAAAGGGGAGACAAAAAGAAGAAAACAGAGTCTACACACATAATATTTAAAATGTTTAAGATGCATTCCAAATTATTTGGCATACAAAGGACTAGGAAAAATGAATTAATATTTAAGTAAAAGACCAACAGACACAAATGGCAAAATGACTAAGATGCTAGAACTAATAGAAAAAGATATCAACATAGCTCTTTTGAAAATGTTCCAGGAAGTAAAAGGAAACATACTTGAAATGAATGATAAAATAAGAATTTGTTGAAAACAAACAGAAGTTACAAAAAAAGAAAAAACAAATAGAAATTTTACAACTGAAAAATACTAGATTGGAAATAAACACTTCACGGTAATGGCTCAATAGCAAAATGAAGATGACAAAGAAAACAGCGAGCCAACTTGAAAATAGATTAGTATAGATTACCTAACCCAACAAATTTTGACTTTGCCACCTCTTAAGAGACATTTGGCAAGTCTGCACACAATTTTGGTTGTCACAACTTGAGGTGTGTAGTACTACAGACATCTAGTGAACAGAGGCCAGGGGTACTGCTCAAAATTCTACAATACACAACAGCTGCAATCCCAGTAAAAAATTATTTGGCTCAAAATGTCCATGTGCCAAGATCAAGAAACCTTCATCAAACTTTAAAATTAAGAAAAAAAAATTGAAGGAAAATGTAGATAGAGCCATGGAGACCTCTGGGACAATATCTAAAACTCTAAACTATTAATATATCTCTTTGGAGTCCTAGAAAAAGGGGATAAAGAGACTGAGTCAGAAAACATATTTGAAAAAAGAATGGCCAAAATACTTGCCAAGTTCAATGAAAGACATAAATTTGTAAACTCAAGAAGTTCAGCAAACCCCAAACAAGATAAAATCAAAGAGAACAACACCTAAACACATCACAATTAAACTGCTGACATCAAAAGATTATATGATTTTGTGTGTGTGTGTGTAAAAATAGCACATCTATGAAGCAGTTAGAGAAAAACAACATGTTATATCATTGGGGAACAATTATTTAAATGACCTTGGCTTCCTCATCAGAAAACATCAAGACCAAAAGATAATGAAATAGCATCTTTAAAGTGAGGGGCAAAAAGTGCTGACACAAAATTACAAACCCAGTAAAAATATCATCCAGAAATAAAGGGGAAGTTAAGAATAAAGACATTTTACATTTTCAGATATCAAATAACTAAAAAATATATTTTCCAGCAAACCTACTCAAAAGAAATGCTACAGGGTGTTTTTCAAGTTTGAAGGGAGCTGCATCATTTCAGACACATCCCTGGTATCAGAGGAAAACTTGAATATTCAGTAACAAAGGAATGATGCCAGAGATGATAAATAGCCATTAAATGTAAAATACTTCTTATTCTCCCTACTAAATTTTTTTTTAATTTTTTTTTTACATATATATATATATCAGTTGGCCAATTAATTTCTTTCTATTTATAGTAGAGACGGGGTCTCGCTCTTGCTCAGGCTGGTTTTGAACTCCTGACCTTGAGCAATCCGCCCGCCTCGGCCTCCCAAGAGCTAGGATTACAGGCGTGAGCCACCGCGCCCGGCCTCTCCCTACTAAATTTTAAAAGTACAAACAATTGTTTAAAGGAAAAATATAACATTTAGCAAGATTTTAAATGTATGTAGCTGTAATATATATGAACAGCTATAACAAACTTCAGTGTTGGTAGATAGAGACATATCGTGCAATATTTCTGCATTTTACATAAAGTGGTACAATATTTACTCACAGTAGAATAGACTCTGATAGTTAGGCATGTATGTTGTAATTTCCGGAGAAACCATTCAAAAACTACAGAGATATAGCCAAAAAGCCCACAGATACATTAAAAGGTAATATTAAAAAATATTCAAATAATCCAAAAGAAGTCAGAAAAAAGAGAAGGAAGAAGAAAAAAAAATAAAGATGGGTGACACAGAGAAATAATAATAAAATAATATACTTAACTCCAACCTGATAAATATTTATATTCAATTTTAATTGTCTCAACTTGCCAATGTAAAAACAGAGATTGACAGAGTATTTAAAAAGGCAATACTTTATTTTATGCTACCTATAAGAAACACACGTAAATTTAAAGTCACATGTACACTAAAAATAAATAGATGAAAAAGATATGGCACACATCAGCAAACATCAGAAAGTTGCAGTGATTTTTTAATATTATAAAATAGACTTCAGCACTGAGTCCTTGAGTCACAGGAAGTCCTAGTGTCTCGGCAGGTTTGTGTTCAGCTCCCCCTGCAGCCCCAGGCACTGTGTCCCGCACAGCACAGAAGTACTGGGCTGAGTCGCTCAAATGGGCTGAGTGTTTCTTCAGGTGAAAGGAGGTTTCATTCTTCCTGAATTCAGCCTCGAAACCTTGGATGCCTTTAACCAGGGTGCTCCCTGATATGTACTTCAGGAGAAGCTGGAGTCCTTGGTTGGGGTATTGCACATACCACCAGACGGTTGGTGTAAAAGAAGCTGTGTAGCTGCATTTCAGCTCCAGAGAGGCTCCTTCAGTGACAGTGACGTGAAGGTCAGGCTGAGTCACCGTCTGGGCCCTGGTCCCTCCTGCAACAGCAATGCTGTGTAAGTAAAAGCAGCACATACTTCGCTATGAAGAAAACACATCTGTATTCAGATCCAATTAGAACCCAGTCGCTTTCATGAACGGAGAGAAGCAAATGGAACGTTACTCACCAAGGGCAAAAATCCCCTCAAGCACCAAGAAGAGCAGCAGGGGCATGGCTGAGCAGTGGCAACGCTGCAGGACCTGGGCAGGTGGGGCGGTGGCCAAGGTCTCTGAGCCTCAGGAGCCAGGAGGAATGGGGAAGCTGGGCTGGACAAGTCTCTTGCTTTGACAAGTTTCAAAAATGGCTAAAAAGAGGTTTTTCCTTAAGGAGTCTGCATGCTTTCTGGCTTCTTGTTCTCGTCACACGTCCCTGCCTACACAGACATCAGGGAGGTACACCAGCCAGCTGCAGGGAGGAGGGGCTCAGGGGGATGATGATGATGATGATCTGGGGTAGAAACAGGTGCTGCCTTTGTGTAACATCGCCCTCTGGAGACCAGAGGCGGCACCAAGGATCCAAGACAGTGAACTGCTTCCTCCTCATTGTGGAGATGTGATATCAAAATTCCAGGGTTAATGTAGAAATAACATTCTTATGATGACATAGTTTCAAAGAAACACTTTCTTAATTACTGTGTGGTGTAAAAATGTTGCTAAATGTGTTGTTACATCATGCCACTGCGGAAAGTTATTTGCACTATAA